GCCCGGGAGACCGTCTGAAATAAGAGTTTATATGGGTAGTTGAAGCTGGTGAGGACTTTGATCCCCTAAGAAGCCCTGAAACGCCCGAGCCAAAAATCCTCAGTGAAAAAGCTGGGCTGGTTTTCGCCTGCGTCCTGTGGAAACTCCTGCGGGTGGCTTTAACTCCGCGTGTAAGACCCTGCTCGTTTCAACGGGACCGAGGTCCCCTGAGCTGGGGCTGAGTATGATGAGCCCAGGCGGAAATGTAGCCCTAATTAGCAGGGGGGAAAAACCTTGGCAGAACTCATCGGGTTTTTTTTTGTGATTTTGTTGTTTTGTTTCTTCCTTGGAGTCAGAGCTGCCTACTGACGTGGGTCCCGGCCTGTGGGACAGATCCCACCATGCAAGCAGCAACAGGCCTCACCGGAGCAAAGAGCTCAGCGTGCATGTCCAGGCGCTAAACGAGGCCCCAAGTCAGTAGGGACAAAAGGTTAATTAGGTTGGCAAATCTGCCGTACATCTGACAGCCAAGCTGTGGCAGACGGGTGCGATGTTAGGGGAAATAGCGCTGCAGCAGGTGCTGAAATTAGTCAGTGTCTGTAGTGGGATGCACAGATGCTTTCTGCGGTGCCCACTGCTTCCTCGCTGCCCGTCGCTGTCTGGTCTCTGAGTAGCAGACTTGCACCTGCAGGCCTGTGAAAGTAGAGAAACTTTGGCTCTTCATAACAGCTAAAAAAACAACCCTGGAGAATAAGCTGAAGGCTAATACGTTAACCCCGTGGGAATTTTGAACTAAGACTAGCAGCGTGTCTTTACATATACACTGCTGCCACGTAACGCTAGAGAGGACCCGGTTCGTCTTATAGCAGGCGCCTTCTGAAAGATACCTCTTTTCCAACCGTGATCCCAAAGAAAGTTCTTTGAATCTGAAAATATAGCTTCTGACTCTGTAATTGTAGATCTAGAGGATTTAAACTGGAAAGTAGTAATTTACTTTGAAATTAATTGTAGCTATCATATCACAGCAACTTGGATTATGAAGTTAAACTTTTCTATAATAAATGAACATATTTCAGATGGCAATTACGATTTTTTTCAGGCATAATTTTTTTATAAAGAGGCAGGATTTGCAGGGAGAGATAATATCCTTTGTTAGACCAACAACTGATTTAAACAGACAGGCTTTAGAATATGTAAATCCTCCTTCAGCCCATCATAGTGCAGCCTCCCTACTACATATTCACTGAGATCAATATATTACAAACAAAATTTGTGGGGCTGAATTCTTCTCCTAGTTACAATAACTCTAAAAAGCTGTGTACTTTTCTAGTTATTACCACATAATGCACAACTTGCTTTATTCTGTATTCTGGTCTTCCATTTCACTTTATTACTTGATCTGTTCTCTTTCAGCGGTTTATTACAAATGCATTGAAAAATAAGATGCAATTTAGTTTCTTTTCTGTATCTCATTTGATTAGGACTAGCAAAACTAAACATCGTAAGATTGAATCCAAATCTCATGTGCATCCTTGTTGCACTGATTTTAGAATATATATTGATAGTATAGATCAATACTACATATGTTGTGGTGTGTGTGTGTCAACAGTGTTTTCACATTTCTTGTATTCCCTTCAAATTGAGACTAAGGGTAAAATTTTCAGCAGCAGCGCATGAGTAACCGGAGTTTGTAAATCCCATTTTCAAGGCTGCTTTAAGAGCTTTTAAGAATTTAGTGGAGCTTCATCTTAACTTCCACTTAGTGCCTATCACTTCTGAGGATGGTACTTAGACTCCTCAAGTACTTTTGAAGTGTTTTCTCTGGGTTCCTCAAAGTAACCTAAGGACTTGTTGATGTGTGATATTAAGGGCTAAGTTCTTAGACGGAAAGGACCAAATAAAATTTATCTCTAAGCTCGTCACCTGTATTGCTTTCCTTGCAGCTGTTTGGAACAATAGTCTGGATTTTGGTAGCTGCCACTCAAGTTCCACTGCCACTGCTGCAGGGATGGGTGATGTTTGTAGCAGTGACCGCGTGGTTCCTGTCCATTGTGTTCCTCTGTGTGTTCCTCTTCAGTTACGCAAATAGGATTGCCATCAACTGGAACCAGACAGTAAGATTTTGTTTTAAGGATTCTGTTGCCTTTATAAACTGGAGATCACTTAATGAGAAGTACTTATCCTAAGTCGTACTACTTAAAACCTACTGTTTTAACAAAATTGCTCAAAGCAGAGGAATTCAAACTGGAAGAAGACGGAGTAGAGCAACAGGGATGATGGGGAAATGTAAAACTTGTTTTATTATGGAAACTGAAAGAGCCTGACTTTTGAACTTGAATGAATGTGTAAGCTTGTCCTCTATAAACACATAGAAGGCGTGAGCAGCAGGGAGAGGACTAGTTTAACAAGGCATGGCAACAAGTTGGTTTAAATTGGCCAGAAATAATTGCAGACTGGAAACAATAAAATATTTTCTAACTATTAGAGGAGTCACGGTAACACCCCGTGAATAATGGGAAGTAGAAAGCTCCATCTAATATTGTAGATGAAGTGATAGATTTGTCAACACATTGTATTATCTGATTATCTGAGAGAGTACAAGTCTCAAGGACCCAGGAAGCCTCTTCCAGTCCTGTGTTCCTATGAAAGCCTGTAGCTGTCTTTTGGGTTAATTCCTTAGGTAGTACAGCACTGATGCACAGCTGTTAGACTTTAGATAGTCAAAGACAGCCTGACCTGCAGTATAGTATAGCTTAATATCTTTTTAGGAGATTTAAATTCCTCTTTCTTAGAGGAAGCCTGGGGAAACTACAGATCTTGCTATGCTCTGCTCAGCTTTTGTTCAGTAAGAAGACAAGATTTCGTGCATTATGGCTTGTGCCAGTAGTTCTCACAGACTGTACCTTCCTCTTGAAAAAGGGCAAGCATTGGCTCCGGTTTTTACAAACCTCATGGATATCTCAGGTTATTGACTGGTAGTTTGTGTTCTCCTTTGCTGTCATTAAATATATTTTGCTTTGAGTTTTCAGCTGCAATTAGTTGAGCACAGTATGGTATCATTCTGTTTCACAATACTACGAGTGAATAATAAGGGTGGCAAAAATGTCAGAAGAACTGGAGCTTCCAAAAAATCTCCAAAAAGATCAGAACTTCTAAAAGATTTAAATGTGTCAGTATGTAGCTGCTGATTGCCTTCACCTTCCTCTTGTATGCCTTGTTTTTTTTCTATGGACAGTTTTCTTGTTCATAGCTGGGTTTGTATTCTGCAGTATCAACATCTATGGTTGTCTGTCTGTTAGCGCTGAAGTTATTTACAGACAGTCCCTTGAAGTAAGATCTCTGGAAAGCAAAGTAATAGAGTCCTGCTGGTTTGGGTCTCTGACAGATAACCTTGAAGCTCATCGGGGTTGACACACTGGATTCTATTCAAAACAGACTTCAGCACTTTGATAGCAAATGCATACGTACAACATCAGCTTTCCAGCATGTACAGTAATTAAGCTAATAATGAGTTAGGGTAATTACAAAGAGCTTTACAGGGATTTATGCTATGACATCCTCACAAGTTATGATGCAGCAGAGCCCTTGAGCATGTGCATAACTTAAGTAAATTAATAGTGTCCTGGGTTTCATTGAAACTATTTGCCAATTGACAATCGTGCGTCTATTTAAAAAAGTTGCTGGGTGAGGGCATAACCTTTTGTACGTTGAAAATGCTATACAAATGTTCATCTTACAGCACTCGTGTGTGTCTTGCACATAGGCTGTTTGATGCTGGATTTGATTGGTTGTAGCATTAATTTTGGCCAATGGCATGCGAGTAAATTACTGAGAAACTTTCCATGTCAGGAAGTTACTACGCAACTTGTATAAAAGCTGTATCTGTGATACTCCTTTGTAATTTAATTTAAAAAGCTGTCATAACTAAGTTAACATCCTAAATAAATGCAATGTCAATCCTTTTATCTCTATTGTGGTAGCTGAAATGCAGTCCCCCCCAGTAGTCAACAAAAATAACCCTAGAAAAATAATTTGTCTGCTATTTGCAGGTACCTGAGTGTTCTGTAACTTGTTGGAACTAGTCTCTTTAGCAGCACTTCAGAAAGATTTTGGCATTCTGTTGCAAATTCTAGTAATTACTAGAAATACTGAACCTGTTATTTGGTTGTTACAAAATAAAAAGGTGTACCTGCTTGTTTTAAATTCGCAAGTATTCAGGTAAATACGTTTTTGCTACTTCAGAAATTAAATTTGCAATAAAACTCAGAAGTTACGGGTTGTTTTATTAGGTCAAAAATGGCAAGAGTCACAGCTTGGTTGTGTTAGAGTACTATCACTTCATTTAAAGATTCCTGAACAAATGTGGTTTAAGATTCCAGCAGCTTAAATGTAAATGTGAAAAGCAGCATGGGATTCTAATAGGCCTGTGTTTAGTAATAGCTTATGTCATGGGTAACTCCACTGAGAGTGATACTTAAGATGCTACGCAGTGGAAAAGTCAGGAGAAAATATGGACCTTATGGAGGTATATTCCTCTGTATTCATCCAGATGGTATGACAAATACTGTTCTTTACAGTCTGACTCACAATGCCTGCGTTTACAAAATTAGAAGTGAACTAATGTATTACACTGATTTGGCAGTGTTTTGCATACACTTTGTGTGAGGTTTCAATGTTTATACAGGTTTTAAAGCAAGGGAGAATTAGGCACTATGCTAACAAATTATTGAAAAACAAAAAGCACTCCCTAATAACATCCTGGATTTTTTGGTCACCGAAACCATAATCGTACAAGTGTGAAACCCTACTGCTGCTACATAGCTTTACTGTAACTGCTGCCAGGAGAAGAAAATCAGAGGGTTTGGGAGGTGAATGGAGGAAATGAGAGTTTACCTTCTGAAAATACCTTTCCAGTGTGCAGCCAGTACTGTTTTCCTCATAGAGCCATTTGTGCTCCTTTGCGAGCTGTGGTGCCAAAGGAGTACAGCCCGTAACACTGAAACAGTTGCGTGCTAGGTGTTTAGCAGCCCAGAAGAAGAATAACGGATCTCCTTGACTTGCTATGGATTTACACCGACCTTTCAAGTTACTGGAATCCTGCACTCTACAACTGATAATGTCAGGCCACAAGGCAGATGGTGTCTGTCCTGCAGTGAACACACCTGCATGCAGGCTCACCTGGTGCACACAGGTGGTCACATAACAGATCTGTGTCTGTCTGTGTCAGGTCGAACAAGGGGGAGAACGCACAGACTTCTGGTGGGAAAAGTGCCAACTAATCGTAGCTTCCCTGGCTGCAGCACAGCGCAGCACTGCACGTTCTCCACTCGCACTCTCGTGTGCCAGTGGCTGACTGGCGAGTCTGATGCTCGTCCCTACTATTCTTCTGTGAGGTGCAGACATTACAGCAGGGTTACAGGCCGGAGAAATGCGGCTTATGCTCAAAGCTTGAGGGCTGGCACATAAAGGCTTTGAAACTAGATGATGAAGGCACCCCTTGGCCCATGTCTTCTTAGTTCTTTTGATGCCAGTGGGGCCTCCTGGTAACAGTCCAAGAGGAAATAATTGTTAGAAACAGCTAGGACAGAAAACCAGAAATAAGGGATATTGCAGGTGTTGTTCTAAAGCTTGGGTTTCCAGTAGTTACTAGTCATGAAGAAAAGCGTGACATGAAGAAAAGCCCTCTATAATCTGACCTCAAATGATCCTTAATAAAGAGAAAGTCATTTCCTGGTCTAAGTGGAATGGGAAACTGTGCTAGCAGCTTGTATCATAACTTGTCAAAACTGACTGTTGTGATTTTAAGTAGTTTCAGTTGCTGTCAAATACAGAACAATTGATGGGTTTGCAAAGCAAATACTTTTCAACAAAGGGAAACTTGACATCTCTAAAGAAACAGTTCTCTAAATTGGGAAATGTGGCACATTCTTACTTTGATATCAGACAGTCAATAGTTTAAGATATTAACATAGTCATTTCTAGAGCACACGAATGCTGTATGCTGCTGTGATCAAGTCACAGATGGTGTATCCTATGCTCTCACTGTTGGGATACTGATAGTCCCTTGCGCTTAAGTAAGTTACAAGTGCAAAATGAATTCATTAATGGTGTAAACTGACTATATAACATAGGTATCGTCACAAAGCATAAGGTACTCCCATACAGTATTCCGAATTGTGTCTGTGGCTTTTACAGACCTGCATAAGTACGTGCACAAAGCATGTTGTGTGTGGACTCAGTAATTGTGTGGACTGCAGATGGCTGCTTTGCGGACTCATCAGCAGAGAAAGATCTGGGAAGAGTATTTTAGACATTTTAAAACTGTGCTGAAGCAGGTCATGGATCTTGCTGCTGTTTTTAAGTGCCCGAGTAATACAGTCCAGAAACATGAGTCAGGTGTGTAAACCTCGTGTTCTCCTAATATTCACCACAGAGCAGGGACTTGCCTAGAGAAGGTCAGGACAGAACTATGTTTAAGGTAAATCTCAACTCCTATCCTCTCAAGTGTCAAACATTTTATTCCTTAGTTTTTGGATTCTGATTGTACCTGGGAGGAAGCTTTAGCTGCATCAAGATTGAGGTGCAGAAGCAAAATTTAAGCGCGGGAGGGGAAGCTTTTGGAGTTTAGGTTATAGCTGAGAAGAGATTTTTGGGACTGCAAGCTTGAATTGTATTGCTTAAATTATGGTAAAGTCAGCCCTTATGTCCTTTTTTATTATTGTTATTATATAGGCCTTATAAAGGGAGAGAGTTCTTTTAGCTGTAAATAGCCTTAAAGTGATCTAAAAGGTCAATTTATTTGCACATAGGTGAGCAGGTGCCTCTTAATTTGAAAGAATGTGTGAGGAGGGAGGGCTGCCGTTTATCACTAAATCTGTTACCGTGTTGCTGTTATAGTTATAATTGCAAGCAGCTATGAAATCATCCTAGTTAAGCTTTCAGATGGATTTCATACTGTTTATCTGAAAGTATTGTTATCAGTGCTCATACATTTCGTATTTTAGTGTTGGGTTTCATTTGTACTGAGGCTGGAAGAATTAGGTATCTATTGCAGCACAGACTGATTCTGTTATTTGCTTTTCAGGATTTCCTTTTCCATGGGGCTACTTTTATCTTTTATTTTGGAGCCTTTCTACTGCAAGCAGCAACTACATCTCTGCATCATTTACCTCGTAAATTTAATTCCACTACACAAGAGAAGCTTCTATCTGATCATGAATATAACATAAGCATAGCAGCCTCGGTATGTATTTCATAAATGTGTATTAAGAGATAGAAGTCTGTTGTAAACTCTTGTAGCTAGTCATTCAACTTTGGAACTTAACAGCAAACTGGAACGGAAAGAGAAATTGAGAGAGAGAGAGAGGAATCGCTTTGAGAGCAGCAAATATTCCCCCAGTGCCATACAAAAATATTACAGTAAGCTTTTACTGCATGCTAGTGTGATCAATGCTTAATTGCTACTTTTCACAATAGTGTTTTAAATACATGAACACTACAGCTTATTATTTTTAGACAGCGACACTTTGTAAAAGCACTACTGGATATTGGAATAGAAGACAAAGATAGTAATTGAGCCTTCATCAAAGCATTAGGTCTGAAATTCAAGCCTGTGCCCAAACATCCAGTTGCTTTGTTTTTTTTATGCTGTTTAGATACTCCTGAACCTGCAGTGGGGAAAAATCTTGGACTAGCCTCTTGTGAAGCTCCATATATACACTTACTGGTATCAGACATAGCAGTTAGCTGCTGAAGGTCCTGCTGTCCCTTATGGCAAGGGTTGGAGTGGTTTTATAGATAGCCTAAACTCGGACTGCCTTTTTAGCACTATGATTACATCATCACTGAATCACTGTATCTGGTGAGGTGGGTGTGGAGAGCAGAGTAAGAAAATATGCCAGGCTTTAGAGTAAGAAAATATACCAGGCTTTAGCTCTCTCCCTGGCTGGACTCCCAAAGGGCAGTAAGAGGTACGCAGGTAAGCTTAACTCAAAGGACTGCATGTACTACTCTTGTTTTTTGCACCCCTCAGAGGGTCTTGCATACCTCAGGGAAGTGTATATATTATTAAGCTTCTAAAACCCTCTGCAGGTGTCTGCTGTCCTCAAAAATAAATACGCTATGAATCTTTGCAAAGTAAGCACCTTCCCCATACCTGTTCCCTCCCTTCAACTCATCTCAGGACAAAAAACGGATGAATCAAAGGTTTAAGGTTTGCATTCCCCCTACAAAAGTAGGATAAAAAGGAAGGGTCACTTTGACAGGCTGGGCTCTGAAGGGGTGAGGTGAGCGTGTCAGTTCTCTAAGTCCAGAATGCCTCGCTGAGACCCTCTTGCCGGCAGCGCTCTGTCACATCTGATCCCTGTTTGGCCGTATGGCACAATGATATTTCGTAGTTGTGCCCAAACCGATTGAGGGCTTTATACTAATCAGGTATCGCAAATTCTGCTCTAACTGTAGCTCTACAAGCCCTGTTTCACTGTATTCAGATCCTACTGCACATACAGTAAAATCTTTTTCTACAGTCGTTTCAGTCGTTCTGTCTGGTAACAGAACACTAGACACTCCAAGAAGCCCTTTACTCCTCCTTTTTGCTTAGGAGAACTCAAGTCCTTGAGCCCTTCAAATTCATGTCAGCTTAGGAGAGGGGGAGGCTGTCTTGTAAGTAATTCCAGCTATCTTTAATTCAAGAAGTACTGGGAAATGGCAAATCAGATACTGTAATCCTTAGTGTCTTCACACAAGTTTCAATCCCTTGAGACCCTTAGTTCTACTGTTATTAACACAGTCCTCTGCTCTGCATGGAGAAACTAAAAGGTAAAGCCCTGCTAAATTTTGTCTTTTAAAATGTGTATAATGGAATTGAAAATGTTTGTATATATTCCTTTTATATGAGTGGTACTTCTGGGACATAACATCTATTCAAAACTTTAATTGTCAAAGTTTGTATGCATAACAAGGGATTAGATGTTATCACCTGATTGAATCCATATGTTCTAAGAGAAAGTGTCCATCATCAGTGATGGACCATATGAAAAACCATCTTTTCCAACAGTTTTAAATTCTTCCTTCTGAATTACATTAAGTATTCTAGTTTGCTCTGGCATGACCTTCAGTTCAAATCTATTGAGTTTAATTCTCCAGGCAGTAGAAACTTTCTGGCATTTCTCAGGAAAGTGTTTTAATGGCTGGTTATCAAGTCAGGGAGGCCAGATTTGAATCTGTTTCCCTATTTCTGCAAGTGAATAGTTGTACTGTTTAAAAGATGTCTCCTTAGTTGTTTGCTGCAGGTAAAGGCCTTCACTTGAAGACAAATCGGAGATTAGTATTTGATCAAAGCGAAAGTAGAATGAGTTTGCTCAGTCTGGGTAAGAGGAAACTGAAATACAGGTGTAAATACATACTTGACTAGTTTGTGCCATGACCTGCGCAGATGGTCTGGTTCATGTTCTACGCCAAAACGTCATCTGAAGCTAGCAACTAACTTAAAAGCAGAAGCATGGGGTTATAACAGAGAGTTTCATGAGAAAATTTTGGAGGATATCCACCCTATTTTTAATCTTAAGAGCATTTTGGCTGGGAGACGTAGCTTTTGAATAATCTGTGTTGCAGTATTCATTTAGAATAGGAGGAGTGTACTGCAATGTAATGTATGATTCACACAATTTTTTTCCTGCTCTTCCTTTAGATTTTTGCCTTTGCAACAGCTGTTTGTTATGGTTGCAGCACGGCGCTGGCATTAAGGAGATGGAAGCTATAGCAGTTGAAGAGAGGTTAATGCTCGAGTGTTCCACTTCAGATCAAACTAAATGCCACTTGTCTTTTTGGAATTACATTACAGTAAAATATACCTTTTTTGCTTAAAATCTGTTTTAAAGTGCTGAAATGCAAATAACCCCTTATCAGGATTTTCTTAACTGAAAACAAGTTTCCATCTCTTCCTTTTCTAGTTTTTATTTTTATTATATACTAATCAGAAGCATTACTGTATTCATTGTACGGTGGTATACAGTTCAGTGATAAATAGATGTGTCATCAGGAGATAACTGAATTCTGGTGCTAAACCAGAAGAGGAAGAAAATGGAAATGAAACAAACGTTACCTGTGTAGGCAGCTAAAAAGCTTCCCCTTGTTAAGTCCTGTGATTGGGCCTTAGGTGTTTAGCGGGCTTGTAATGAGTTCCACACAGCTATAGCCTTGAGGCTCCCTATAGAGTTGTGGGACTTTGGTATGCTGCTTCTTGCATGATCAGAGCCCAAGCTGACTTTGTGATATCACCACAGTATATATTATTTTTAAATTTGAGGTAATGAGGAAAATTTTAAAATATACGTCCGGTGCAATCTTTTGATATTCTTTTACAACCACATCCAGCTTTGGTGATCTAGTCCTTCAGGCTTACTGTGTTCCTTAGTAGATGGAGACTGTCTGGGACTGTCAGTCAGTAGTTCCTTAGTTTCATGGGTTTAGCTTCATCAAATCTATTTATACTGCAAAACAGAACAGTGCATTTGTGCTGTGTGTGTATATATGTGGTATATTTTTGTTTAACAGGAATATTTGCACTGTTTTCCTTTGTTGGAGTATGGTTTTGTTTTTGTTATTTCAAGTGCTGCATTTATTACTTATATTATGTGAGTCAATATCATTTGAATGGAATATTACCAAATGGTGAATAATGTCTGACCTCAGTTCTTGCAGTGTGTTATTTGTTGCATCCTAAATCTGCAGTGTTGTAAAGGTGTTTTTATTTGGGCATGTCCTTATGCCTATGCAACATCTTGCTGAAAGCAATGGAATGGTCCACCCTCTGTGGAGTTGCTTTTGGCAGCGATGAACTTTAATCGGGCCTGCTTTGAATATTCCAGATGTATAATGACATACAATATTATGAATGCAAAATTAACTTAACAAAACTAAAACATGGTATTACATTCTATTCCCTAATATGCATCCCTTTTGGCAGATAATGAAAGTTTTTAATAAAAAAGCTAGTAAATAATTCTAGCTTTTGTGAAAAGTGCCAAATTGATAATCTTGGAGAAAAGAAAGACTCCCTGTCGTTTGTAGAACAACTTCCTCACCACATCCTGCCAGAGCACTTGAAAAATCTGCAGACACCAGTTGTGGTTGGGAAAGGAAAGACAGGACTTTCCTCATTCCCTGGCCTACTCATTCACAGTGAACCAACAAGGGTGTCTGCTATGAAGGTTACTTTGTCCAATTTGTCATGTACAAGGATCTTTGAGAGCCAGCCACCCTCGGTAGCGTCCTTCAGTCCTGGCTGACCCAGGACAGGTTCCTATCGATGGCACAACAGTGAGTGTCAGCCCCTCTGACTACTGGAACCACTCAGTCCTACTGAATTATTGCAGTGAGATGTTTTCATATGCCTTGTTTTCTGGAATTTTTTTTTATCTTCCAGGGATTTTGTACTCTGCCTGGATTTTTTTCTAATCATGCATTTGCATTGAAAACTTGTGTTGTGAATGTTTTATCTAGAGCCATATACTTCAAAAAATACTTCATGTTGTATAAAATACATCTACACTGGAGTATATGAATGAACGTGTATAATGAGGACCTACGCTGAACAGCATTAAAGTTACTTAATATTATATGTATGTATGGCAGCAGTCTGATTATTAATTATTTGGTTGGAAAGTAAAATGAAGGAACAAATCAAAGGAACAAATCAAAGAAACACATTGCAGGTTTGACTGACCTGATGCTGGATGTATCAAGGCTAAAACTTCTTGAGAAGGCACAATTACAGTAATATTAATTTTGTACTGTGGGTTTGCTGCATATGATGGTGTGGATGGTAGTGAGGAAAACAATGGAGATTGGGGCCAGCTACAGCTGTATTGCAAGTGGGGGCTGCTCCTTGGTGTGGTTTCTCCCTCCTCCTGGAGCCTTGGTGTACTCTGCGTACCGCAGCGTGGACATGCCATAGCTGCAGCCAACCCTCCCTTTCAGGAAGGAAAGAGGCAAGGTTGATGGGTGCTGTTCAAGTCTCTTCTACTTGTAGCTACTTGTAGAAGAAGCTCAAAGCAATGAGCGTAGCATGAAAACCTTGTTTGTATAGCGAGGAGAGGCTAAATTTCCCCTCTTAAAGTATCAAAGACAAACAAAAGCCAGAGAAGAGAGAAAGATAGAAACTACAGTAATGAAAATGTGGTTTTCATAGCTAAAAAGCAATGAAAGAAAGGAAGTTACTTCTGTTAGCTTGCAAGGTGTTTTGCTGGACTTTCAGGGAGATCTAATGAAGGACACACCAGAGCAAGGACGCAGTCACATTCTTAAGAAAAACGGGGGAAAAAAAAGGCAAGTTAATTACAATATACCGGAAGCTAAAAAAGCAGATGTGACTCAGAAATGGTTCATGCATCCTAGGATGTCTGTATGCAAATACTGATAACACTTAATCCTTGTGATACTCCTTATAG